TGAAAACAAAAGTAAAACAACCAAAAATAAAAGAAACTTCTGAACCATCTCTTTATTCCAGATTGTGTCTAATGAATGTACCTTTAATATAGAATTTTCATACTGTCAATGCTAGAGAAACCAGATTGGTTTCGTACACAGTGACCAAGTAATCTTGTTGAAACCGTATCAGATAACCATTGAAAGTAAACTTATTGTCGAATATGATACCCAAGTCTTTGAATGACAGATAGCATTATTTATCAACTCCCCTAATTTGGAAATACTGAGTTTAAGACGACTTCTGTAGCACTCGAGTGCTGTCAGCTAATTTCGAAGGGTAATACAGTCAAATCACCTGCAAACAAAATAAATTCAGAATGCAGTGTATATATGCAGAGTGCAGTCCATATATGCTGAATTTATTGTTTCTTGTGAATATTAGGAACAGAAGAGGGCCTAAATCGGATCCTTGTGGAATACATAAAGTAGCTGGATAATGGTTGGAAGTATGGCCTCCATATTCAACATACTGTATTCTATTGAATAAATACATACACATACTATCAAATACTGTGAACTAACTTTGCTGTCAATTTTTAAGCTCCTGTTGATTTTAGGAATATCGACATGCCAATATAAAGGGCGACCCTCGTATTACGAAAAATACAGTATTAACATAAAATTACCAGAGACGTTTTTGTTTATCATTCAATGTGATCTCAATTTGGAAGCAAGCAAGCCAAGCGAGCCAATTTTGGAGTTCCTCAATAAGGATTTCGAAATTTTCATTGAAATATTCAAATAGACTCCCTAAGTTTTTCCTGTAAGTTTGTTTTAAAACCGAATGGTCTGATCTAATATATGTTGTTCGTTATCAAATTTTGAATACAATGCAGAAACTTTCTCCTCCAAAAACGCCAAAAATTTCTTTTGCTCTCTCTTCTTCTCATCACAATTCTATAGATTTCATGTGTTCTCAAAAATAAATTTCATAATACTCGACACTTGATAGTTTACAAGCGAAAAAGTGACACATATTAAATGCAGATCCACACAGTTCATCATAGATAAAAACTGAATGGGAAATGAATTTATATCTTCGTGGGTTTATTGTAATTCTTTTGTGTCCATTTGTTGTAATAGCTTTTATAAATGGAATGAATTAATTTTTTTATTCTTTCAATATCACATTGACGTATAGGATGAATGGAACCATTTGTTCGGGCTTTCTCTTTTTAATCAATTCTATACACTGGGCCTTGTGGAATTATTCAAAGTTATTGNGCATTTCTGATATGTACCGCTCTTGGTGGAATCAAATGTGCCAAGTCACTTGAACACCTCCCGTGAAAGTATCTATGAAAGAGAGACAAATCTCCAACGTTTCTTCGATTTTCTAGGCTATCAAGGTTGCACATGATGTTCGCGTCTCCAATCAGGCGGATGGCTCTTTTCTGGGTGGAATCCAGCAACTTCAGGGTATGTTTCAGGACGGAGCTCCATACATGAGAACAATACTTTAAAGGTCTGAGTTGAACTTTATAAAGCATCAAAATTTGCTGGTGTGTGTACAGTTTTCTGGTTCGGAACAATGTTCCAAGCTTTTGAGAAGCAGCCATTGCAACTCCAGCGACATGATTGTGCCAAGACATATTGGTGTCTATGTTAACCCCCCAAAAAATGTCGAAACAGAAAGCGGGGTCGTGGCATTCAGTTGAACCTGGTTACTCCCACCCCAATTCGAAATTACTTCTAGATCCTCATTAAGATATGCAACCTCCTGCTGCCGGTGAAGATGTGCCTCCGTAGCCGATGTCCTGGAATCCAAATGGAATAACGGGACAAGTGTACTATCGCCAGCAAAGCAATATATTGGATTTTTAGTTTTTTCCAATAAGTCGTTGATACAATAAAAAGAGGGTTGGAGACAATATGGATCCCTGGGGAACACCAGCGTTGATGGTGAAAGTATTCCAGAAATATCCATGTTTTTGCCAACCTCATTCTCCAGGAGGTATTCAGTTACACGGTGAACTAGCAATTTAACTCTTTCAACTACGTCCTCTGGGGAAGGTATCGAAGCGAGTTATATGCCCTTTTTCTTTATAGCTAATGCTATGAATCGTCTATGTCACAGTTTTTGGCAGTTCCGGGAATACAATTGATACTTTCATTAGAAAGTACTTCTTCACGTTGTTCTTCAACCGCGAAAGTCTTATTGAAAATTTTCACTTTATTGTAAAAAGTATATAACACATCAATGGCCTCTGCCTCACCTACGAGTATATTATGGAAACTACTATCCAGAACTGATTAATCCATATACACATATAAAATAAAATATAATTAAAAGTGATTTTTCAATATTGATATCCGCCTAGAAATGTTTCGTAGTTTCGAAAAATAAAATTTCACATTTCACATAGTGTCAAAAGTGATGGAAGCGTATCGTTTTTTTTTGACAAATATTCCCGGCCGAGATTCAAGCGCATGACATACAGATGGACGGACAGAAAGACGAACGACAGAATTTTGACCAAAACACCGATGGGTATATTTTGTCAGATACCAAAGTCGGTACAGGTTGTTTTGATATCTGCAATATTAATACTTAGAAATAACTTTCATCGTTTTTTTTTGAAAAATATGATTTCATTAGTTTTCGAGCAGATGCAAAGGTCTACTTTAAAATAAACAAAATTATGACACTATCTCTTCATATATTTTTCGATGCTTATTATGGATAGGCAACACTTATTTGAAATGGATAGTGACATTCACCATTATAACACAAGAAATGCAGCTAACTCCTGAATTTATATTAAACGAAGAGCCAGTGTTCTGTAAATTATTACGTACTTAAGTTTTATAATAAGCTCCCTTTACATCTGAAGACGTCATCCTATAATAATTTCAAAACCAAAATTAAACATATACTTACTTACACAGGAAAGTTATGACTCAATCATTGACATTTTTAATGCTGATCTGGGTTGTTACTGAACGGAATTTGATTCCAGCAGTTGTATCGCCAACAGCATATGCAGGAAATACTTCTGTGAAGATTCCTGCACTGACACCTGTCAGATATCCAACGCCCTTCGTGGTATTAGCCAGGGTAGTAGTTGTTTTCTGATAGGTATCAGTTCATTAACCTACAGTGTAGGTGAGTAGAGACTGGCCTGAAGGAATTGTTCTTGTAGATAACTGGAATTTGATTATCTTTATTTAGATAATTTGACCATAATTTGTTTATAGAGTTTTGTTCTTTCGTCTTGTTTGATTTATTTTCATTGTTGTTTTGTATGTTACTTTAAATATATTTCACTCTATATCCACATTCTTGACATGTGCAAAATCTTTATGATTAGAAGCACAAATGAATATATACATCATTTTTGATATGTTTATGATCAAATGTGATTCAACTTATTTTGCTGTCAAGCATTCAGTCGCGTCACTGAATACTTGAAACAGGCCATCTTCTTAAGTCTAAACTATCGTATTCAAGAACAACTCCGATTTTTATGATTTTGTTCTTTTAAATATATTTTTTTTTTATATTCATTGAAAACAAAAACTTTTTGAAGCCGGAACAGGATTGTTTATATTGTTTCAACTATATGTATTAATGTATATAAAAAAATTACTTTTGCGTGGCTTTTCGT